CTGGAACAATGGCGGAGGAAATCCAGAGAGTTGTTTGGCTTCTTTTAATAAATAATGCTACGTTCAGACCGCAACAGCTGGAAGCAGCAAAGCAGCTTCTGCTGCTTCATCTCTGATCCTCATTAAGGTCAGCCGTCCAGTAAAGTGAGTCCAGATGCTTCTGCTGCTCCTGTGTTCGATGCCAGAGAGCAGCTTTGCTATATTAGCTGTGATCAGCGGGTAGAAAGTAGTTAGAATCTATGTTGAAGTGAGAAAGTCCTCCTGAAAACATGGTCTGTGCAGTCAGTTCATCCAGATGTCAGAACTTTAGCTGCGTCTTGATGCTCATCAACCATTGACTTTGCATGTGAACCAGCTGCTCCTGCTGCTCCTGCAGTGTGCGCTCTGAACGTAGCATCATTCTTCTCCATCGGCACAGACTACCATCCAGATCACCGTCCATTTTTTTGGACCTGTCAAACTTCCATCCATCCATTTTCTGACATGCTTTATCCCATGCGGGGTGGTGGGGGGTGCTGGTGCCTCTATCCAGCTGTCTATGGCCGAGAGGCAGCCAGTCAAACTTAATTAAATTATCTAAATACCATTTTATTTTTTCTTTAGAAACTGTAAATCATTTGTCCTGCGCCTCTATGGATCCTTTTTATTTCTCTAAAAATGAATGTTTTTGATGAAAAGCTGCAGAGTTTTCCCTCCTCTGTCCTCCAGCTTCACGTCTCACCAGAACCTCTGGTTCTGTTCGAGTCGACGCCTTCGCCTTCGGGTGGAGCGTCCAGAATTCCCCTCTGAGGCGTGTTTGTTTCCTCCACCATGGCTGGACTTTGGACCGATTGGGACCGTCCTGCTGCAGGAGGTGGAGGCGGAGTCAGGATGGGTCCGGCTTTATTAACCATTTATTGGACCCGTTAACACAGTGGCAGAACCTGAAGGCCATCAGCTTTCTGGTAGGCGAAGCAGCGCTCTGGATTCTGGACTTCCTAAAATCTTTCTTTTTTCCCTCAGGAAGAAGAAAAAGGAAATAAACTCCAAGCAAAGCTTCTGTTTTCAGGCTGGAACCAAACATGTGGCTTCAATGAGCCTCTGGCGCCTAAAGCAGGGAGGAGTTCTGCAGAACCCGACCAGCCGCTCCACGCAGTGAGCTCATAACTCCCGCCCTGGTGATGTCATCGCTGCAGATCCTGAGGGTGGAACTGAATTGGGTTCCTGTTTATGATGAGAACCAAACCGGAAACCGGAGCAGCAGCGTTTCATGAGGCAGCCAATGAGAAGGCAGCGTTAAGGCCTGGTTATCCTGCTGCAGGACCTGGTTTAGCTCCAAAGCTAGGTTAACTGCATGCAGCGAGGCTAAAGTCCTGGTTATCCTGCTGCAGGACCTGGTTTAGCTCCAAAGCTAGGCTAACTGCATGCAGCGAGGCTAAAGTCCTGGTTATCCTGCTGCAGGACCTGGTTTAGCTCCAAAGCTAGGCTAACTGCATGCAGCGAGGCTAAAGTCCTGGTTATCCTGCTGCAGGACCTGGTTTAGCTCCAAAGCTAGGCTAACTGCATGCAGCGAGGCTAAAGTCCTGGTTATCCTGCTGCAGGACCTGGTTTAGCTCCAAAGCTAGGCTAACTGCATGCAGCGAGGCTAAAGTCCTGGTTATCCTGCTGCAGGACCTGGTTTAGCTCCAAAGCTAGGCTAACTGCATGCAGCGAGGCTAAAGTCCTGGTTATCCTGCTGCAGGACCTGGTTTAGCTCCAAAGCTAGGCTAACTGCATGCAGCGAGGCTAAAGTCCTGGTTATCCTGCTGCAGGACCTGGTTTAGCTCCAAAGCTAGGCTAACTGCATGCAGCGAGGCTAAAGTCCTGGTTATCCTGCTGCAGGACCTGGTTTAGCTCCAAAGCTAGGCTAACTGCATGCAGCGAGGCTAAAGGCCTGGTTATCCTCCTGCAGCAGTGTGTCGCAGTGAGCTTGATGCAGACATTTTTGATTTATGCCAGGTATTGAAGCGTGGTCTGCGCTATACGCTGTGGGTCTAGATACGGCTGAGGCGGGGAGGAAGTGGGGGCGAGTTTGTGCGACAACGGAGGGACATGAGGGCCAAAAAGAGCGGGGATCCAGGTGGAAAAAAGTTCCCAGCGTTCTGGCGCACCTCGGTCTGCTAGTGGCTCCATCTTCACCAGTTGTTTTCCACAATTTCGGTCATAAAAACAAAACAAGCAGACCTCCTGTCTGCGGTTGGAACGCGCATCAACCATTGACTTTGCATGTAAACTCGCTGCTTCTGCTGCACCTGCTGCGTCCGGTGTGAACGTAGTATGAGACCCAACAGAACCGTCCATGCAGCAGCCTGGTTCTGGTTGCTCTCCACGCTTTCATTGTTCATCTTTAATGATTTCAAACCTAAACCTGATCAGAATCATCTCCTTCTGGAGGTCCGACACCCATCAGTCATAGCAAAGCAGCCCAGATCATCCCTCCACCACCGCCGTGTTTGACTGCAGCTCCAAGGTTCTGGTTGTTTTGGATCCAGGATCCACTGAGCGTTGAGTTCTGTCGGGACAGCAGTGGTTCTGGTCTTAGAGGCAGTTTCTCTCTCTTCCTTATTGCTGAATCATGACCTTTGACATGAGCTGAGGCGGTGGTTCTCTGGATGGATGTGTGGTGCGGTTCTTTACCCGATGATGATGATGTTTCCTGGCTGGTTAGATGTCATCTGATTTATAATCAGTTTCCTCCCTGCAGGGTGGAGTCTGGGAGGGGGGGGGGGTTGAGCAGGAAATGATCTCAGAGCATCTGTCAGCTGCACAGGAAGCGTCCCTCCTCCTGTGCTCAGATCTCAGCGCTCCTGCAGGAAGCTGCTGGTGAAAACGCTCCCGGCTGCAGCTTCCTACGGTCCGCCTGGGAACGCAGAGGAAAGCCGAACACCCGGCAGAGGAATGCGGGAGGCGGGTTCCTCCTCCACAATAAACCGTTCAGGTCGATTCTCCCTGAAGAGGAGGGAAGCTTTATCCCTTCCATCCTCTCCTCCTGATTTAATTCACTGAATTTAATTTAAAAAAGCCTAATTTAGAAGTTAGTTTAACATAAATGACCAGAGAACAGAGGTTCAATCAGCAGATCTGATGGTTGTTTGTCTAATAATAAAATTATTCACCCAAATGAAAGGTCAGCTGTCGTTAACCCTTTATAGGCAAGCTAGCGTTCCTGATCCCTTGCATCCCCCCTGTCCCCCAGTGAGGTCTAGAAGCACTAGATCTATATCCAGCCATTCAGCATAGATCCTGCTACATGGCTGTACATCTGATTTTGGTTTTTGACCAATTAGATGAGCCCTTTAATGATATATTCCCTACTGGAAATTAAGCTGGAAAAAAGTTAACAAATCAAGAAAAAAAAAGGTAAAAAGCTAATTGAAAAGTGAAAAAGTGAATAAGACTCATTAAGAATTATATTTAGGTTTATAAACGCATTAATGCCTCTAAGTTTATGTTGGAACTTTATAAATGTGTTTCTTTTACTCCTTATAGAAGCACTTTTGTTATTTTTATTCGATCAGCAAAGAATAATCAACGGATGATTATTTATACCTAAAACTAATACATTCACAGTGATTTAATGAATTTAGCGTTCATCTGTAAAACAAATAAAAATTATTTTTGTGGCGATCACTGAGACCTGGAGCGGCCATTTTTGCCCAAATATATTCAATTCCATTCAGTTTATTTCAATAGCTCCAATTCACATGTCATCTCAAAACAGCAATCCCTCACACTAAGCATGCTTGTAGCGACAGTGGAGAGGAAAAACTCCCTTTGAACAGGAAGAAACCTCCAGCAGAACCAGGCTCAGTGTGAGCGGCCATCTGCTGAGGCCCACTGGGGTTCAAGGAGACAGAAGCAGACATAGAAAAAGGATATAGAATATAGTAGCCCCTCCCTCCTGCCATCTTCCAGCAGTGACGTCACGGTGCGGTAAGCCTAGCGCCATTCTCCCCGCTTTCCAAGCTAAATCAATGGGAACTACTAGACACATCTGCAATCAACAACAATTATTGAAGATTTCCAGAGGACTTCACCATTGAAATTCACCAGAGCTATAGTGAAACTGACAATGCCCACGTGCATGGCAGCTGGATGCTGGAATACATCGGGGAAAAGTGAAAAAAAAAAAGAGTTATTCCACCTTTCTGATTCCTGATCCTCCACGGACGGGTTGGTCGTTGGATCGCCAACTTGAAGAGGGAGGATTTGCCATCGAACTTCTGGCCAGAGAAAAAACCCGTAATATGTAGCGGCTCTCTGAGCTCCAAGAGGAGGAGGAACCATCAATGATCATCTAGAGATCAACTCTAACTGCTTTTAAAAGCCACAATCAATCCTCTAGAGATCCCAACGTTATTTCCTCCATTTTGATCTAAAAAAGCTTTGCCTCGCTGCGTTGCTGCTACATCTGGTCCCTGATTGGCTGTCATGGTGCTACAGTAACTGACAGGAGGGCTGAGATCAGCAGTTAAATCCTCTCTAATTGCTCCTGAACGCACCCCTCCACAGACTTAACACACCAGCGAGGTGTTAGGGCCTAGTCAAAGCCCAGACCTCAAATCCAGCTGAGAATCTGTGAAAGGATTTCCTCTCCACTGTCGCTACAAGCATGCTTAGTGTGAGGGATTGCTGAAGAGTCAATGAGTCGATGCAATCAGCTGGTTTTCCTTAGATAGAAAACTTTGAATCAATCTGACTGGATGATCTGGTTGAACTGGAAAGTGACCTGAGAGGTAACCATGGCAACCAACTAACCTGCCTTGGTGTTGATGGAGTTCGTAAGGTTTAAGGAAGGTCGGGTTGGAAAGGTCACAGTGAATAAACGATGGTAAAGATCTCTGCTCTGGTGAAAATATTCTGAAGGACTTTTCAGGTTTGCAGAACCGACCCGACTCAAAGGCTTCTGATCTGTAGAACCCGTTCAAAGAGCAGAACCGCGACCCGTCCAGAAACTCAACCAGCGCCTCAGCTGCTCTGACCTGCAGGGCTTCAGCCAGACTCCGTCTCTGTCCGTCCACCAGGATGAAGGGACGCGTCTTCTCCAGGAGGGGGCGCCTCAGTCTGTCCGCACCTTAAAGACGGAGGAGAAGTTAGAACATGATTCAGAGCTAAGATCAGATCAGCTTTGACTTCTTTTCATTTCCAGGATTCTGGCTCCCAGAAAAACCCAAAACCAGTGACCTGAGAATATAGAAAAAGTTTGATTTGGTTCTGTCCTACGTAACCATGGAGACAGGAGAGACGTCCACCGGATCAGTGGACAGAGACAGAGACCCCCCCCAACCCCCGGAAGCGCAGCCAAACTACGTCTTAAATGTGAAACACAACATGAATACACATGATGGATCAACCATCACCAGGACGTCTATGATGCAGATTCACTGGCTTTGGTTATTAACACGGACGCCACAGTGACTGCTGCTGCGCAACGTCCGCACTTGCAAGAAGCCAGCCAGACCCCCCCACCCCCCCCCACTAGGTCTAAAACATCAGCCCATAACATAAACCAATAGAACATAGAGGCAGACAGGCAGGTGTTCAGGAAGGAATCCATGAAGCTCAGCGGTGTGTCATGCATCATTACGGTAGCTAACATCGGATCACTGCTGCAGCTCCTTCAGTTATTTACTGTCACAGGTAGGAGCTTAGACCGGAGAGGAAGTGTTTGATTTAAGGAGGGCCCTCCCTCGCACGCTGACATTAGGCCCCGCCCACCGGGCAAATGCCCGCTATCACAGATTAGCAGTCTGAGCCTAATCTAAGCCCATCCAGGGAAAGTTTAGTGGAGGGAAAAAGTGTGTAAATCAGATAAAAATGCAGCTTATAGATCAGGGGTTTCAAACTGGTTCCAGAAAGGGCCGTGTGGCTGCAGCTTTTCTTTCCAACCAAGCAATAGCACAGACCAACTCAACACAGACCAACTGAACATAGACCAACTAAACACAGACCAACTGAACACTGACCAACTAGACCAACTAAACACTGACCAACTGGACCAACTAAACACTGACCAACTAAACACTGACAAACTAGACCAACCAAACACTGACCAACTGGACCAACTAAACACTGACCAACTAGACCAACCAAACACTGACCAACTAAACACTGACCAACTAGACCAACTAAACACTGACCAACCAAACACTGACCAACTAGACCAACCAAACACTGACCAACTAGACCAACCAAACACTGACCAACTAGACCAACCAAACACTGACCAACTAGACCAACTAAACACTGACCAACTAGACCAACTAAACACTGACCAACTGGACCAACTAAACACTGACCAACTAAACACTGACCAACTAAACACTGACCAACTAAACACTGACCAACTAGACCAACCAAACACTGACCAACTAGACCAACTAAACACTGACCAACTGGACCAACTAAACACTGACCAACTAAACACTGACCAACTAGACCAACCAAACACTGACCAACTGGACCAACTAAACACTGACCAACTGGACCAACTAAACACTGACCAACTAAACACTGACCAACTAGACCAACCAAACACTGACCAACTAGACCAACTAAACACTGACCAACTGAACACTGACCAACTGAACACTGACCAACTGAACACTGACCAACTGAACATCACTGCTGCAGCTCCTTCAGTTATTTACTGTCACAGGTAGGAGCTTAGACCGGAGAGGAAGTGTTTGATTTAAGGAGGGCCCTCCCTCGCACGCTGACATTAGGCCCCGCCCACCGGGCAAATGCCCGCTATCACAGATTAGCAGTCTGAGCCTAATCTAAGCCCATCCAGGGAAAGTTTAGTGGAGGGAAAAAGTGTGTAAATCAGATAAAAATGCAGCTTATAGATCAGGGGTTTCAAACTGGTTCCAGAAAGGGCCGTGTGGCTGCAGCTTTTCTTTCCAACCAAGCAATAGCACAGACCAACTGAACACAGACCAACTGAACATAGACCAACTAAACACAGACCAACTGAACACTGACCAACTAGACCAACTAAACACTGACCAACTGGACCAACTAAACACTGACCAACTGGACCAACTAAACACTGACCAACTAAACACTGACAAACTAGACCAACCAAACACTGACCAACTAAACACTGACCAACTAGACCAACTAAACACTGACCAACCAAACACTGACCAACTAGACCAACCAAACACTGACCAACTAGACCAACCAAACACTGACCAACTAGACCAACCAAACACTGACCAACTAGACCAACTAAACACTGACCAACTGGACCAACTAAACACTGACCAACTAAACACTGACCAACTAGACCAACCAAACACTGACCAACTAGACCAACTAAACACTGACCAACTGGACCAACTAAACACTGACCAACTGGACCAACTAAACACTGACCAACTGGACCAACTAAACACTGACCAACTAAACACTGACCAACTGGACCAACTAAACACTGACCAACTAAACACTGACCAACTAGACCAACCAAACACTGACCAACTAGACCAACTAAACACTGACCAACTAGACCAACTAAACACTGACCAACTGAACACTGACCAACTGAACACTGACCAACTGAACACTGACCAACTGAACACTGACCAACTGAACACTGACCAACTAAACACTGACCAACTAGACCAACCAAACACTGACCAACTAGACCAACTAAACACTGACCAACTAGACCAACTAAACACTGACCAACTAGACCAACTAAACACTGACCAACTGGACCAACCAAACACTGACCAACTAGACCAACTAAACACTGACCAACTGGACCAACTAAACACTGACCAACTAGACCAACTAAACACTGACCAACTAAACACTGACCAACTAGACCAACAAAACACTGACCAACTAGACCAACTAAACACTGACCAACTAAACACTGACCAACTAAACCAACTAAACACTGACCAACTAGACCAACTAAACACTGACCAACTAAACACTGACCAACTAAACACTGACCAACTAGACCAACTAAACACTGACCAACTAAACACTGACCAACTAAACACAGATCAACTAGAACAACTAAACACTGACCAACTAAACCAACTAAACACTGACCAACTAAACCAACTAAACACTGACCAACTAGACCAACTAAACACTGACCAACTAAACACTGACCAACTAAACACTGACCAACTAAACACTGACCAACTAAACACTGACCAACTAGACCAACTAAACACTGACCAACTAGACCAACTAAACACTGACCAACTAAACACTGACCAACTAGACCAACTAAACACTGACCAACTAGACCAACTAAACACTGACCAACTAAACCAACTAAACACTGACCAACTAAACCAACTAAACACTGACCAACTAAACACTGACCAACTAAACCCACTAAACACTGACCAACTAGACCAACTAAACACTGACCAACTAAACACTGACCAACTAAACACTGACCAACTAAACCAACTAAACACTGACCAACTAGACCAACTAAACACTGACCAACTAAACACTGACCAACTAAACACACAGATCAACTAGAACAACTAAACACTGACCAACTAAACCAACTAAACACTGACCAACTAGACCAACTAAACACTGACCAACTAAACACTGACCAACTAAACACTGACCAACTAGACCAACTAAACACTGACCAACTAAACACTGACCAACTAAACACTGACCAACTAGACCAACTAAACACTGACCAACTAGACCAATTAAACACTGACCAACTAAACACTGACCAACTAGACCAACTAAACACTGACCAACTAAACACAGATCAACTAGAACAACTAAACACTGACCAACTAAACACTGACCAACTAGACCAACTAAACACTGACCAACTAGACCAACTAAACACTGACCAACTAAACACTGACCAACTAAACACTGACCAACTAGACCAACTAAACACTGACCAACTAGACCAACTAAACACTGACCAACTAAACCAACTAAACACTGACCAACTAAACCAACTAAACACTGACCAACTAAACACTGACCAACTAAACCCACTAAACACTGACCAACTAGACCAACTAAACACTGACCAACTAAACACTGACCAACTAAACACTGACCAACTAGACCAACTAAACACTGACCAACTAAACACTGACCAACTAAACACACAGATCAACTAGAACAACTAAACACTGACCAACTAAACCAACTAAACACTGACCAACTAGACCAACTAAACACTGACCAACTAAACACTGACCAACTAAACACTGACCAACTAAACACTGACCAACTAAACACTGACCAACTAGACCAACTAAACACTGACCAACTAAACACTGACCAACTAAACACTGACCAACTAAACACTGACCAACTAGACCAACTAAACACTGACCAACTAGACCAACTAAACACTGACCAACTAAACACTGACCAACTAGACCAACTAAACACTGACCAACTAAACACAGATCAACTAGAACAACTAAACACTGACCAACTAAACACTGACCAACTAGACCAACTAAACACTGACCAACTAGACCAACTAAACACTGACCAACTAAACACTGACCAACTAGACCAACTAAACACTGACCAACCAGACCAACTAAACACTGACCAACTAAACCAACTAAACACTGACCAACTAAACCAACTAAACACTGACCAACTAAACACTGACCAACTAAACCCACTAAACACTGACCAACTAGACCAACTAAACACTGACCAACTAAACACTGACCAACTAAACACTGACCAACTAAACCAACTAAACACTGACCAACTAGACCAACTAAACACTGACCAACTAAACACTGACCAACTAAACACACAGATCAACTAGAACAACTAAACACTGACCAACTAAACCAACTAAACACTGACCAACTAGATCAACTAAACACTGACCAACTAAACACTGACCAACTAAACACTGACCAACTAAACACTGACCAACTAAACACTGACCAACTAGACCAACTAAACACTGACCAACTAAACACTGACCAACTAAACACTGACCAACTAGACCAACTAAACACTGACCAACTAGACCAACTAAACACTGACCAACTAAACACTGACCAACTAGACCAACTAAACACTGACCAACTAAACACAGATCAACTAGAACAACTAAACACTGACCAACTAAACACTGACCAACTAAACACTGACCAACTAGACCAACTAAACACTGACCAACTAGACCAACTAAACACTTACCAACTGGACACAGACCAACTAGACCAACTAAACACTGACCAACTAAACACTGACCAACTGAATACAGATCAACTAACAGATCTAGAACATTGGGCCCGATCCAGCCTAAAGTTAAAGGGATAGTTCGGGATTTTTGACATGAATCTGTATGGCATCCCCATCACCAGTGTCATGCAATCACACTGACTTACCCCTGGCAGCGTCCTGTGAGCAGAGTTCTCGCCCAGCTTTGGTCAAGCCGAAAGTAGTCCGGCAGGTTTGCTAGACCCAGCGAAATAAAGCGTTTCTCTTCCCAAAACATTATGTGTTCAAAAGAGTGATATTTTTGCATCCCAAAAACATTGTAGTGGAAAAAGTCACACGTCGTTATCACTTGGTCCTATTTTCTCTCTGTTCGTATCAGTGCGCGCGACACCATGACCTGACAGCTAGGGCCTACTAAGCTGACAACAGCCAGATGCATGTTGAGCTCGCTGTCAGAATGACGGCGCGCACTGATACGAACAGAGAGAAAATAGGACCAAGTGATAACGACGTGTGACTTTTTCCACTACAATGTTTTTGGGATGCAAAAATATCACTCTTTTGAACACATAATGTTTTGGGAAGAGAAACGCTTTATTTCGCTGGGTCTAGCAAACCTGCCGGACTACTTTCGGCTTGACCAAAGCTGGGCGAGAACTCTGCTCACAGGACGCTGCCAGGGGTAAGTCAGTTTGATTGCATGACACTGGTGATGGGGATGCCATACAGATTCATGTCAAAAATCCCGAACTATCCCTTTAAAGTCCATCAGCTTTGCTCTGAGGTCCGGACGCCTTCCTTCTGCTGACGACCGGATGGAGATGCTGGCTCCATCTCTCAGCAGGACCTGGTACCTAAGCACATTAATCACCATGGCAACACCAGCACACCTGTCTGCCTCAAGCCCACATTGAACCTATGGGATGGAGCAGGAAGAGAAACAGCAGAACCAGCAAGACCTGCTGGATCTGAGAGCAGGAACCCAAACATCTCATTGGTTTTAAAATGGACTCGGTTTACTGAAGTTTCCCTAAAGCAGAATAAATTAATTCTCAGAGATTAGAATCGTTTCTTTTTCTTATTTTCCGTTAAACAGTAAATAGTTAGTTTGATTCCGGTTATTTTTGCTCACCGCTCAGAGCAGCATCCACCTGGACCTCCGCCGCCTGAAGCCCTCCATCCTGCGGTGCGTTCAGGGACCTGCAGACCGTGAACGCCGCACGGCCGCCCAGCAGCAGCAGCAGCAGCGGCAGCGGCGGACCGGCGGCGCCGCTCATCCTCTCTGCGTCACCGGGAGCCGCAACAGGTTGCTGCTCCGCCCGGTTACCTCACGGTGTCGGAGCTCCGGGAAAGGCTCCACCTAAACCCCATGGCCCCCCGCCCCCCCAGGGTCAGGAGTCAGGGCGGCTACCTGGACCGTTACCCGGCGGGACTCCCGCTCTGCTCCCTAACTGCGCAGTTTGTTGGAAAGCTGCCCGCAGGAAGCCCCGACTGGTCCAGCAGGACGGGTTCTGGTTCTGGTTCTGGTTCTGGGTCCGTCCGGGAAGAGAGGAGTTCCGGTCTGAAAGAAGCTGAAAGCTGCTCCTAACGGGAGGACGACGCACCTCCAGGGTTTATACCGGGAGCTTCAGCTGACGTCATCCCGAGCTGTCAAACAGCCACAACACAAAATAACTACTTCCGGTGACCCGTCAAAATAAGAGCGACCAACTAAACGCTGCAGTTTCACATGATCTATAAAGCAGTAGATTTGAATCAGTTTCTCTCATTAATCACATTAATAGATGTAAATTAAAATACTAATGTTTTAAAAACTAAAAACAACTTTATAATATATCAAAACATAACTGATGAAAAGGTCTAATAATTAGACGGCCCTGCAAAGTGATGATAAACTGAGAACCTTTATCATATTAGACTTAGACTGACTTTATTGTCATTTTGTACTTTATTGTCATTTTGTATAAAAAAAAAAAGAATTTTCGTTCAGTGCAGCTCTCAAGACATTTTACATTTTTAAAGTGCAGCAGTGATCAAATGTAAACATGTTATCAGGCTCCTCTCCTGTGGCACCAACTACCAGTTTTAGTCCGTGAGGCAGACACCCTGTCTACTTTTAAGGCTAGGCTTAAAACTTTCCTTTTTGATAAAGCTTCTAGTTAGAGTGGCTCAGGTTATCCTGATCTATCTCTATAGTTCTGCTGCTATAGGCTTAGACTGCTGGAGGACATAGGGACCCCTTTTTCATCATTCTGCTTCATTCTATCTCTATTCTCCCACTCTGCAGAATCTGAGAAATACAGTATCAGCTGTGCTGCTGCCATCAACACCTTTGTTTCTAGATGTTGGAGAGTGGCCTGTTTTCCAGTGTAGTCCTGTTTCTCTGACTGTGACTAACTGGATGTGCTCTCTTCATCCTCTGACATGGGAGCTGGCTCGGAGCTCGTCTGCCTGGCTGTGTGTTTCCTGGACGGGGCCGCCTGTGGAGCTGGTTGACAGTTGCCTTTTGTATCTATGCTTCTTTTTCTATGTCTGCTTCTGTCTCCTTGAACCCCAGTGGGCCTCAGCAGATGGCCGCTCACACTGAGCCTGGTTCTGCTGGAGGTTTCTTCCAAGTTTTCCTCTCCACTGTCGCTACAAGCATGCTTAGTGTGAGGGATTGCTGAAGAGTCAATGAGTCGATGCAATCAGCTGGTTTTCCTTAGAAAGAAAACTTTGAATCAATCTGACTGGATGATCTGGTAAACTGGAAAGTGACCTGAGATGACATGATGTGAATTGGAGCTATAGAAATAAACTGACCGAATTGAATTAAACATACAGATAAAATGTAAACAAACATAAAAGAACACTTACCTAATTATATTTACAAATAAATCACCAACATGTAAAGCTGAAGAAGTTATCCAATTAAGAACATGCAAATCCTTTTATTTTGAAAAACAGCAGGATCCAGTATTTAAACACGTGTTCAGCTCATCAAAGCGTTGCATGTTGTCGGCAAACGCCCACCAGAAAAACTTCCATGAAACCCAAACCTCCAAACTTCAGTGGAGGCCATGTTGAGGAGCATGTCACCATGGAAACAGAAGGCGTTTCCTGAGTGAGATCAGAGCCTTTCATCTCTGCAATCATTTAGGATCAGGTGCTAAGTTTACTCCATTGCTCCCATCACCAGATACCAAACAACACATTGGTTTGTTTTTAAATGTAAAACAACTATTTTATGATCAAACGTTTTATAATGTATATATGTCTTCGTTTAGGAAAAGTGTCTTTAAACTTTATTATGTAGTTTCACTTTTTAATCCTCCATGTTTGTTAACAGAGGCTTGGTTCTGCTGATGTTTGAGGGATTTCTTGTTTCCCTGCTGTGGATCAGAGCTTCAGCAGGTAAAGTGATGGAAGGAATCCAGATCCCAGATTAAGACGTAATCAAGCCGTCAGCCTGGAAACATGCAATGAGCTGCGGAGCCCAAATATCAGATTCCTGCCTAAAAGCTTCAAGCTGCATGAAGGAGTGCTGAATATCTGCAGGTTTGAATTGAGTTTTAAGACACTTTGATCCAATGAGCGGCTGACTGACTGCAGAATAATTAGAGCTTTCAGGCGGATTAGCAGTGGCTGAGGTCAGAGGGGGTTCAGAGGGAGAAACTGATCCAGAGTCAGCTTGGTGCGGCGCACAGATCAGATTTAAGGCTTGAATGAAGCCAGCGCTACACGTGCCACAGAGGATCAGCGGCTTACATAACGTAGATGTACATGCAGAGGGAATCACATCATACCATCAAAAACAGGCAGCGTAGAGACGCTGTCAGCAGTTCTGCAGACTTCTGAACGGCTGTCAGTTTCACAACCATGAAAAACTGCTGACATGTCCATAAACTCCTGAGCATTTTAAACTACTAAACACAGAGACCAACTAAACACAGAGACCAGCTAAACACAGACCAACTAAACACAGAGACCAGCTAAACACAGACCAACCAAACACAAAGACCAACTAAACACAGACCAACTAAACACAGAGACCAACTAAATACAGACCAACTAAACACAGACCAACTAAACACAGACCAACTAAACACAGAGACCAACTGAACACAGACCAACTAAACACAGAGACCAACTAAACACAGAGACCAGCTAAACACAGACCAACCAAACACAAAGACCAACTAAACACAGACCAACTAAACACAGACCAACTAAACACAGAGACCAACTAAACACAGAGACCAACTGAACACAGACCAACTAAACACAGAGACCAACTAAATACAGACCAACTAAACACAGACCAACTAAACACAGACCAACTAAACACAGAGACCAGCTAAACACAGACCAACCAAACACAAAGACCAACTAAACACAGACCAACTAAACACAGAGACCAACTAAACACAGAGACCAGCTAAACACAGACCAACTAAACACAGAGACCAGCTAAACACAGACCAACCAAACACAAAGACCAACTAAACACAGACCAACTAAACACAGAGACCAACTAAATACAGACCAACTAAACACAGACCAACTAAACACAGACCAACTAAACACAGAGACCAACTGAACACAGACCAACTAAACACAGAGACCAACTAAACACAGAGACCAGCTAAACACAGACCAACCAAACACAAAGACCAACTAAACACAGACCAACTAAACACAGACCAACTAAACACAGAGACCAACTAAACACAGAGACCAACTGAACACAGACCAACTAAACACAGAGACCAACTAAATACAGACCAACTAAACACAGACCAACTAAACACAGAGACCAACTAAACACAGAGACCAACTGAACACAGACCAACTAAACACAGAGACCAACTAAATACAGACCAACTAAACACAGACCAACTAAACACAGACCAACTAAACACAGAGACCAACTGAACACAGACCAACTAAACACAGAGACCAACTAAATACAGACCAACTAAACACAGACCAACTAAACACAGAGACCAACTGAACACAGACCAACTAAACACAGAGACCAACTAAACACAGAGACCAACTGAACACAGACCAACTAAACACAGAGACCAACTAAACACAGAGACCAACTAAACACAGAGACCAACTGAACACAGACCAACTAAACACAGACCAACTAAACACAGAGACCAACTAAACACAGAGACCAACTGAACACAGACCAACTAAACACAGAGACCAACTAAACACAGAGACCAACTGGACACAGACCAACTAAACACAGAGACCAACTAAATACAGACCAACTAAATACAGACCAACTAAACACAGACCAACTAAACACAGACCAACTAAACACAGAGACCAACTGAACACAGACCAACTAAACACAGAGACCAACTAAACACAGAGACCAACTGAACACAGACCAACTAAACACAGAGACCAACTAAATACAGACCAACTAAACACAGACCAACTAAACACAGACCAACTAAACACAGAGACCAACTGAACACAGACCAACTAAACACAGAGACCAACTAAATACAGACCAACTAAACACAGACCAACTAAACACAGACCAACTAAACACAGAGACCAGCTAAATACAGACCAGCTAAACACAGACCAACCAAACACACAGAGACCAACTGAACAGACCAACTAAACACAAAGACCAGCTAAATACAGACCAGCTAAACACAGACCAACCAAACACACAGAGACCAAATAAACAGAGACCAACTGAACAGACCAACTAAACACAAAGACCAACTAAATACAGACCAACTAAACACAGACCAACTAAACACAGACCAACTAAACACAGACCAAATAAACACAAAGACCAGCTAAATACAGACCTACTAAACACAAAGAGACCAACTAAACATAGAGACTAACTAAACAGAGACCAACCAAACACTGACCAACTAAACAAAGAGACAAGCTAAACATAGAGACCAGCTAAAGACAGAGACCAACCAAACACTGACCAACTAAACAAAGAGACAAGCTAAACATAGAGGAGACCAACTGAATACAGAGACCAACTAAACATTGCTACCTGGCCTAGCAGAACCACAAAGAGAAATAAAAAACGGACAATGAGGTTTAAAGATTAAGTCAAGATTGACTTCAAGAGGAGGTTCTAAACATTTAAGGTAGATTTAGGGGAATTATACAGATGGACAAAGAGATGCAAGACAAGCATGGAGGCAAAACAGGCCCTGTCCATGGTTCTTAAAGAGCAGAAAATACAGCACTGAAAGGGATTTGATGAACCTGGAAAGAGACCAACACAAACCAAACCCGACCTAACTACCTTCCCAGAACCAAGTCAAGACCAAGTCTTTTAGGGACCAAGTGGAGACCAACATGGAGGGTGTATAATCCCAGCGTATCATTACAGTCAGCTGTAGATCACCTTACAGACATTAATCAATCTGACCGGTTGATGAACTGTAAAGTGCCTTAGGATGATATGTGTTGTAAATTGGCGCTACAGAAATAAACTGAATTGAATTGACTGAGAATGACTTTTATTTGTAAGGCGGAGAGAACAGATGACATGTTTAGCACATGGCTATAAAGGAAAAATAAGAGTTTACTTTTAGGCCATTATTATAAAGTAAAAAAACAATATTTTGAACATCAGTATCATTTATTTGACGCCTACATCTCATGGCACATTGATTTTTTTAATTCCCAGTTTCTAATATGTTGTCTTTCCACACAGGCTGTGATCCAACTGCTTTCTAGAGACTTCTGATTGTGTGATTTGTTTAGATTTTAGTCATTTAATTGTACATCATAAATAAAATTTAAAATATTAACAGATAAACTGAAGGACATTTCCACACCTTGGGCTTGACTGGTCTTGAAATAAAATTTAAACGTCGAGGAAAGACTGCCTGAGTCACCAAGACCATCAAAAAGAGGTCTGGAGACCAAGACTGGTCCAGACCAGTCTGCATTACCTGAGGGCTCCTTTAAGGTCCCTCAGTTTTTCCAGTACTCTTCATCATCTACCTGTGGTAAACTAATATAGAACTCCTGTTCAAGATCTGCTGCTCAACCACAGGGAAGGATAATATCTTTTGTCTGGATAAATGACATCATCCAGTTGGTTCAGTATCAGATTAAGCTAAATGTGGATTATATTACAAGAGAAGAACAGAAGCTCAGGTCAGCATAGAGCTAAATCAGTGAAGGGCCCTTAAGAAGCCTTCAGTTTGCCCCCCCCCCGCCCCCCCAGACACAGAGCTAATGCCAACAGGTAGTGACATCATAGCTGCAGGAGCTCTGCAGGGAACCCATCTCATTAAAAAGATGCTGCAGCTAAACGTTCTTTATTTTTTGACCTTTATCATTTTTTGTGGGAATTTATAAAATTTTTCTCATTTATCGTCAATCCAAGCTGTCACTGATTTAGCTCCATATTTAAAGGAAAAGTCGCTCATATTTAGAATCCAAACTTCTGAAAGTTCTTTAAATCTGAAATGATTCCATCCTGTTCAATAAATGATCAGTGTTTTTAATTCAGAGTAATTTTCATGTGAATGTGCTTTACTGGAGGCATCCATGTTTGTCAAAGAACACTACTGCCACCTACTGGTTAGTGACATTGTCACGGTGCGGTATCGGCTGTTGATCAAGTCCCAGTGCTGTATCTGGTGTTTGTCACAACGCGCTATTATCCAAGTCATCTTGAAAACATTCTTCTTCCAAATGTTGGCTACATATTACGGGTTTTTTCTCTGGCCAGAAGTTCGATGGCAAATCCTCCCTCTTCAAGTTGGCGATCCAACGACCAACCCGTCCGTGGAGGATCAGGAATCAGAAAGGTGGAATAACTCTTTTTTTCACTTTTACCCGATGTATTCCAGCATCCAGCTGCCATGCACGTGGGCATCGTCAGTTTCACTATAGCTCTGGTGAATTTCAATGGTGAAGTCCTCTGGAAATCTTCAATAATTGTTGTTGATTGCAGATGTGTCTAGTAGTTCCCATTGATTTAGCTTGGAAAGCGGGGAGAATGGCGCTAGGCTTACCGCACCGTGACGTCACTGCTGGAAGATGGCAGGAGGGAGGGGCTACTATATTTGGGCAAAAATGGCCGCTCCCAGACTCAGAGATCGCCATGAAAATTATTGCTTTATTTTTTTACTGATTAACACTAAATTCATTGAATCACTGCAAACGTATTAGTTTTAGGTAAATAATGATCCATTGATTAATCCTCTCTGACCGACTTTACCTTTAAAAACCTGTGAATGAATCTGTGCGTTTTAAACCCTGAACTCTGACCTGCAGGCACAGACTGACAGTGCAGTTTCCTTCTAGCTTTGTAAACCACTAAGAGCCATTATTCTAATGCTTTATGGCGTCAGCACTTTATTGGAACCTCTTTGTGATGAAGTGCTGTATAAATAAAGTTGACATTTATTTCTGTTGCTTTTTACCACATGAGCTCACGTTTGCTTTTCCGTTTCCAACATGGAGGCTAGGTCTCAGTAAGGAGAAGCTTGTGTTTTAATGGACACGATGGTTTCACTGTTGCCTTAAGGAACTTTATTAGACTGAAGGACGGACGCTGACAGGGTCTCTGGGTTTGTCTGAACCTCGGTCTAACTGCAGGCATAACGAGTCTCCTCCATGTCCGACTCTTCTGGGTGGCGGTGAAGAAAGAGACGGCGCCTCCACGCGGTCAGGCGCTCAAACACCTGCAGGTGGAGAGCAGGGTTAAAATAAAAAACATGTTTTTCTCTCTGTGGCACCAAAAGAGGAACATTGTTGAGATCTGATGGGTTCCTGGAGCAGGTTTGGACTGAAGGGGGACGTCACGCTCACCGTCCTGTTCCTCTGTCCTCTATCGATGGTCTTCTCCTTGTCAGGTAAGGAAAGCCGTCGGTGGAGCTGCAGGTTGTAGAGAAACAAGATGCGCTTCTTCTCCCTCTGAGAGACAGAGACAAGAACAGAGACTGATCTAGATTTCTGTCTTTAGTGTCTCTGAGGTCTTCCTCAACTCTCTCCCTCCTCTTCCTCCCTCTCCACTCCTTTTGTCTTATTGGTTGCTGCTCCACCTTCTCTGCTCTGTAGAACCAGAACCACCACCCGCTGGATCAGTACCTAATGGTTCATTAGCAAAAAGTTCAACTGAAAGTCCAGTTTTTACTGCAGATGGAGACATGAACAGAAAGTTCTGGTGAAGCGAGACCCAATGGCGGCCCATAAAAAACGTTGGTTACCCAACAGGTTACAGAACATCTGGTGACGCCATGTTAAAGTGACGGTTCATGGAGGGGGGGCTAATCCGTGCGGGACATGACTGGGGGGCCCACCTCCTGCAGGGGGAACCAGTGCAGAGAGGATTGGGCAGCAGTCAGAGGCCTCAGGGACCCGATCCACGGATGCCTAAACCGACTGCGGGGACTCTGTTCATCATTGAGGGGAGATCGACAGACGGACCAGTTCTGCTGCTAGAATGCAGACGCTGTGCTTCAGAGAGAGCTGAGAGAAAAGGCAAAGCTCTGATTTAATGGTCGGTCTACGTTCCTACCCTCACCTATGGTCATTAATCTGGATCAGGACCCAAAGAACCAGATCCTGGATCCAAACTTCCTCTGCAGGGAGGCTGGGCTCTCCCTCAGAGAGAGGGGGAGGAGCTGGGTCATCAGGGGGAGGCTCAGAGTAGAGCTGCTTCTCCTCCACATCCAGAGGAGTCAGCTGAGGAGGATCTGACATCTTTGGCCCCGTCCACACGAAGTCAAAACGAACACGAAACGCTGATATTTTCCAGAACGTTTGTCGTAAAGACGGAGACGTAAAATAAATGTGATCGTCCACACGAATGCATGAAAACGCTGCAAAATGTATGCCAGGCCTGTAAGTGGCGCTGTGGTGCCAAAGCAAAAATAGGCGACGAAATGTTGGGCATGCGCACTAATATTTATTCATGGTTGCCCTGCGGGTCCATTTTGGTGGTTCAGTCAAATTCAGGTGCTGAACTATGTGGTCGATATTGCTCTGTTCTTCCTGGAGATATTCCAGAAGAAGAAGATTCTGTTGTAAGCCCGACAGCAGGGTGAGTAGCATGAGCAGCAACCATTCAACACAGTACGGCGCCATTGTTGTTGTGATACTGTGTCGCCCATGCGTGTTTAGAGGCGACGCTATGACGCATGCGTGTAAGAAAAAAAAAAGCTGTTAGAGCGTAAAGATGGAAACGCGAAAACGGCGTTTCAGAATCTTCCCACTCTGAAGGCTGAATAAAAAAAAGATCGTTTACAGACCCCCGAAACGCCGGCTTCGTATGGATGAGAGGCTGGTTTGGTGAAAAATTTGTGCGTTTAGGCCAGGGTTCGGCTTCGTGTGGACGGGGCCTTTATCAGATGGACGCCTCCCTCTGATGGTTCCAGGGACGTCCCACCAGGAGGAGGACCAGGACCCCATGGAGGGACTATGTCTAGATTTTAAAATCCTCCTTCTCACATATAAAGCCTTAAATGGCCAAGCTCCATCTGATATCAGAGATCTGATTGTTCCTTATGTTCCTAACAGAGCACTTCGCTCTCAATCTGCAGGTTTACTAGTGGTTCCTAGAATTTCTAAAAGTAGAATGGGAGGCAGATCTTTTAGTTATCAGGCTCCTCTCCTGTGGAACCAACTACCAGTTTTAGTCCGTGAGGCAGACACCCTGTCTACTTTTAAGGCTAGGCTTAAAACTTTCCTTTTTGATAAAGCTTCTAGTTAGAGTGGCTCAGGTTATCCTGATCTATCTCTATAGTTCTGCTGCTATAGGCTTAGACTGCTGGAGGACATAGGGACCCCTTTTTCATCAGGACTTGCCTTCAAGTCAATGCTATCAACTGTTTTTCCACAGATAGAAACTTTGAATCAAACTGACTGGATGATCTGGTGAACTGGAAAGTGACCTGTGATGACATGTGTTGTGGTTTGGCAGGATAGAAATAAACTGAATAGAACTGAATATGTCTCTTTGCTGGATTTTGTCCAGGGAGAGCAAATCTGGGAGTTTCTGCTAAGACTGCTGCCATCCTCATCCTGCTCCATCCTAGTTCCCTGAGGTCCAACAGGATCTGGATCCGAGGGTGAGAAAAACGCTGATGGCATCATCTCCCCAACTTCACCTTATTCAAGTTCTAGCTTTTATTCCTCTGCAGGATGAAACCAACAGGAAGCTGTTGATCTGATCAGCTTCCTGTTGCTCCTCAGCAGGTCTGACGGCGTGAACCTGGAGAGGAGCTGTCCGACCCGATCACTGCCTCCATTCATCACCTCTCTGCTCCCCAGCAGCTCCCCAGCAGCGCAGTAAGTCCACTTAAACAGCTCTGCTGTTATAAAGCTCTTACTCTAATCTGTTCTCAGATCAGATTTACTGCAGCTCACATGCTGCAAACAAACACACATAAAACAAGCTGAACCTCAGGTCCAACGGTGCAGGAAGTTACAACAAACCAGTTTGGCCTGATTTTTTGATGTAAAAGACAAGGAACATTTCAACTGTTTAAAGAAAATTCAGTTATTGCTATATCCTGTTTTTGGAGGGTGAGAAAATGTGAAAAAGCTTCTTTATGTAATTATCAACATCACTCTGCTGAAGCTGTAACATAGAATCTGTCTGTCTGTCTGTCTGTCTGTCTGCGTACCTTAGGGTGGTAGAAGGCTGCGATGACCCGTCTGAGCCGGTTGGTGTAGACTTGAACGAGGCTGAACAGCGCCACCAGCAGGACACAACCCACACAGCTCACATATACTGCAGTGGGGAGGGAGGAGGGGGGAGACATGCATGCTGAGAGAGAGACAGTGAGAGAGAGAGAGAGAGAGAGAGAGAGACAGAGAGAGAAAGTTCATGATTCTGTTCTCTATAGTCTGCAGATGGAGGGAAATGTCGCCCTCTGTTGGTTTAAAGTCTGTCCAACACCCTGCAGGGTTATTTATTTAATCCAGAACCAGTTCAGATCTGATTCACTTTACGATGATCCAGTTCCTTTTAGCTTCAGTCTGATTCAGCAAAGTAGAAATTAGAAAATGTTTTAAAAAGTGTAAACAGAGAAAAAAATCTGTCTGTCTGTCTCTCTGTCTGTCTGTCTGAAGAAAACATATTCTAGATTTAAATATCATTTAACCATGGCCCATGGTTTTCACTATTATCTAGCAGCAATTGAATAATAAAACGTATAAAATGAGAAACTGTGAAAATATGGAGCTGTAGGTTTAGCAGAAAGTTGGACTGAACAGAAAAGACTCTAAACTCTGAGCAGCTGTCAGGTTCTTCAGGACAGGAGACCCGACTTTCACTTACAAAAGGTGATATTTTGACAGACTCTAGACTCTAGTGGTGATTTAACGGTTATGCTGCCCTCTAGAGGCCTCCTTCTGATGGCGCCGCCCACAAAGACCTGGAGCTCACCTTGGTTGTCGCTATTGATGTTCAGGTCGGATGAACTGTTGAACCCAGAGATCACGGTCCGCAGGAGGCGGGCCATCATGGTGTCTCCACCCACTTTGATGTCCATGTGGTGACTACCTGCAGAGAGGGGGGCGGAGCCATGTGTCAGTGAGGAATGGAAAGCTTCCAGGTCCCTTCTGTATTAACCTTCTCGGACTTTAAAGAGTTTAAAGGTCCGAGCTGAGTGGCGGTGCGTTTACTCGTCACGTTGAACTGCGTAAACGTGTGTCTGCTGATGATGTCCAGAACGTGGACCAGAGCAAAGTCGACGCCCAGCAGGATGATGGACAGCAGTGAGACGGTCAAAACCTGAAGACCACCTGCCATCTGCAGACATTGATCTAAACACTGAACTAACTAGAGGCTTAGCTTAGAAATACCACATGATGAAGTCTTGAAAACAAACATTTTATTTCAAAAATAAAAAGGTGTTGTAAAAATGGACATTTTGGGAGATAAAAGGAAAAATTGGCTGCAGAGGGATTCTGCTTGATTCACTGCTTACAGCAGTGAATCTTGCTGTTTTAAAGGTGCTGTAGGAGATCTTCGAAAAAACTGAAAAACTATATTTTGAACATACACAACCAGCGTCTCCTTTTAGCCCCTCCCCCGGAACCACGCCTTCAAAACACATGAACGTGCGACGCGGCGCTGATCTGGGAGCTGGCAGGGAGTCAGACGCAGCACTGCTGATGCAGAGCGCTATGATCACTCCTCTGAAACAGTTTATTAACGCCTAAATTAACTTAGAATGTAGAAACCTGCCGGCAGAATATGTTGGCTTTCCTGCTGCCTGCAGTTTGTAGCACAGACCTGAAAAACGCTAACATCTACTTCCCCCCGCCTGCCCGGTAAGGCAGGTAAAAAATGCGTCAGAAAAGATCTCCTACTGCACCTTTAAATCCAGGTGGGCAGAACCAGAACACCTGCCTTAGGCTTAGATCATCTGCCTCCAGGTGTTGAACTCACCACTTGTTTCAGCTCCTCAGGGTAGATCCTTGGACTCAGGGGGAATATGAACTTGCTGGTCTCTGATTTTCTCAGAGGCAGCAGGAAGTGTTTCCCCTAAAAGGAAAGAAGAAGAAAAGCAGCAGTTACTCTGAGAATCTTCATCTCAATGATGATGACGAAGAGGAGGAGAGTGAGAGTACCGCCTGTCTCCTGCGGTCATCGATCCTTCGGAAGTAGGAGCTGATGTAGACGTTGTCAAAGCTGATGTTTCTCCTGTAGTAGCGGAAGTACTGGAAAGCCCTGAGGAGGAGGAGGAGGAGGAGGAGGAGGAGGAGGAGGAGGAGGAGGAGGAGGAGGAGGAGGAGGAGGAGGAGGAGGAGGAGGAGGAGGAGGAGGAGGAGGAGGAGGAGGAGGAGGAGGGGAAAAAAACAAAATAGACCCAAATGGGTCACTGCTGATGAAGGTGTGAATCTAACGGGTCACTCTGCTGATGAAGGTGTGAATCTAACAGGTCACTCTGCTGATGAAGGTGTGAATCTAACGGGTCACTCTGCTGATGAAGGTGTGAATCTAACAGGTCACTCTGCTGATGAAGGTGTGAATCTAACGGGTCACTGCTGAAGAAGGTGTGAATCTAACGGGTCACTCTGCTGATGAAGGTGTGAATCTAACGGGTCACTCTGCTGATGAAGGTGTGAATCTAACGGGTCACTCTGCTGATGAAGGTGTGAATCTAACGGGTCACTCTGCTGATGAAGGTGTGAATCTAACGGGTCACTGCTGATGAAGGTGTGAATCTAACGGGTCACTGCTGATGAAGGTGTGAATCTAACGGGTCACTCTGCTGATGAAGGTGTGAATCTAACGGGTCACTGCTGATGAAGGTGTGAATCTAACGGGTCACTGCTGATGAAGGTGTGAATCTAACGGGTCACTCTGCTGATGAAGGTGTGAATCTAACGGGTCACTGCTCATGAAGGTGTGAATCTAACGGGTCAATCTGCTGATGAAGGTGTGAATCTAACGGGTCACGCTGCTGATGAAGGTGTGAATCTAATGGGTCACTCTGCTGATGAAGGTGTGAATCTAACGGGTCACTGCTGATGAAGATGTGAATCTAACGGGTCACTGCTGATGAAGGTGTGAATCTAACGGGTCACTGCTGATGAAGGTGTGAATTTAATGGGTCACTGCTGATGAAGGTGTGAATCTAACGGGTCACTCTGCTGATGAAGGTGTGAATCTAACGGGTCACTGCTGATGAAGGTGTGAATCTAACGGGTCACTGCTGATGAAGGTGTGAATCTAATGGGTCACGCTGCTGATGAAGGTGTGAATCTAACGGGTCACTCTGCTGATGAAGGTGTGAATCTAACGGGTCACTGCTGATGAAGGTGTGAATCTAACGGGTCACTGCTGATGAAGGTGTGAATCTAACGGGTCACTGCTGATGAAGGTGTGAATCTAACGGGTCACGCTGCTGATGAAGGTGTGAATCTAACGGGTCACTCTGCTGATGAAGGTGTGAATCTAACGGGTCACTGCTGATGAAGGTGTGAATCTAACGGGTCACTGCTGATGAAGGTGTGAATCTAACGGGTCACTGCTGATGAAGGTGTGAATCTAACGGGTCACTCTGCTGATGAAGGTGTGAATCTAACGGGTCAGTGCTGATGAAGGTGTGAATCTAACGGGTCACTCTGCTGATGAAGGTGTGAATCTAACGGGTCACTCTGCTGATGAAGGTGTGAATCTAACGGGTCACTGCTGATGAAGGTGTGAATCTAACGGGTCACTGCTGGTGAAGGTGTGAATCTAACGGGTCACTGCTGATGAAGGTGTGAATCTAACGGGTCACTCTGCTGATGAAGGTGTGAATCTAACAGGTCACTCTGCTGATGAAGGTGTGAATCTAACGGGTCACTCTGCTGATGAAGGTGTGAATCTAACGGGTCACTGCTGATGAAGGTGTGAATCTAACGGGTCACTGCTGGTGAAGGTGTGAATCTAACGGGTCACTGCTGATGAAGGTGTGAATCTAACGGGTCACTCTGCTGATGAAGGTGTGAATCTAACGGGTCACTCTGCTGATGAAGGTGTGAATCTAACGGGTCACTGCTGATGAAGGTGTGAATCTAACGGGTCACTGCTGATGAAGGTGTGAATCTAACGGGTCACTGCTGATGAAGGTGTGAATCTAACGGGTCACTGCTGATGAAGGTGTGAATCTAACGGGTCACTCTGCTGATGAAGGTGTGAATCTAACGGGTCACTGCTGATGAAGGTGTGAATCTAACGGGTCACTGCTGATGAAGGTGTGAATCTAACGGGTCACTCTGCTGATGAAGGTGTGAATCTAACGGGTCACTCTGCTGATGAAGGTGTGAATCTAATGGGTCACTCTGCTGATGAAGGTGTGAATCTAACGGGTCACTCTGCTGATGAAGGTGTGAATCTAACGGGTCACTGCTGATGAAGGTGTGAATCTAACGGGTCACTGCTGATGAAGGTGTGAATCTAACGGGTCACTCTGCTGATGAAGGTGTGAATCTAACGGGTCACTCTGCTGATGAAGGTGTGAATCTAACGGGTCACTCTGCTGATGAAGGTGTGAATCTAACGGGTCACTCTGCTGATGAAGGTGTGAATCTAACGGGTCACTGCTGATGAAGGTGTGAATCTAACGGGTCACTGCTGATGAAGGTGTGAATCTAACGGGTCACTGCTGATGAAGGTGTGAATCTAACGGGTCACTGCTGATGAAGGTGTGAATCTAACGGGTCACTCTGCTGATGAAGGTGTGAATCTAACGGGTCACTGCTGATGAAGGTGTGAATCTAACGGGTCACTGCTGATGAAGGTGTGAATCTAACGGGTCACTCTGCTGATGAAGGTGTGAATCTAACGGGTCACTCTGCTGATGAAGGTGTGAATCTAATGGGTCACTCTGCTGATGAAGGTGTGAATCTAACGGGTCACTGCTGATGAAGGTGTGAATCTAACGGGTCACTGCTGATGAAGGTGTGAATCTAACGGGTCACTCAGCTGATGAAGGTGTGAATCTAACGGGTCACTGCTGATGAAGGTGTGAATCTAACGGGTCACTCTGCTGATGAAGGTGTGAATCTAACGGGTCACTCTGCTGATGAAGGTGTGAATCTAACGGGTCACTCTGCTGATGAAGGTGTGAATCTAACGGGTCACTCTGCTGATGAAGGTGTGAATCTAACGGGTCACTGCTGATGAAGGTGTGAATCTAACGGGTCACTCTGCTGATGAAGGTGTGAATCTAACGGGTCACTGCTGATGAAGGTGTGAATCTAACGGGTCACTCTACTGATGAAGGTGTGAATCTAACGGGTCACTCTGCTGATGAAGGTGTGAATCTAATGGGTCACTCTGCTGATGAAGGTGTGAATCTAATGGGTCACTCTGCTGATGAAGGTGTGAATCTAACGGGTCACTGCTGATGAAGGTGTGAATCTAACGAGTCACTGCTGATGAAGGTGTGAATCTAACGGGTCACTGCTGATGAAGGTGTGAATCTAATGGGTCACTGCTGATGAAGGTGTGAATCTAACGGGTCACTCTGCTGATGAAGGTGTGAATCTAACGGGTCACTCTGCTGATGAAGGTGTGAATCTAACGGGTCACTCTGCTGATGAAGGTGTGAATCTAATGGGTCACTCTGCTGATGAAGGTGTGAATCTAACGGGTCACTGCTGATGAAGGTGTGAATCTAACGGGTCACTGCTCATGAAGGTGTGAATCTAACGGGTCAATCTGCTGATGAAGGTGTGAATCTAACGGGTCACTCTGCTGATGAAGGTGTGAATCTAACGGGTCACTGCTGATGAAGATGTGAATCTAACGGGTCACTGCTGATGAAGGTGTGAATCTAACGGGTCACTGCTGATGAAGGTGTGAATTTAATGGGTCACTGCTGATGAAGGTGTGAATCTAACGGGTCACTCTGCTGATGAAGGTGTGAATCTAACGGGTCACTTCTGATGAAGGTGTGAATCTAACGGGTCACTGCTGATGAAGGTGTGAATCTAATGGGTCACTCTGCTGATGAAGGTGTGAATCTAACGGGTCACTCTGCTGATGAAGGTGTGAATCTAACGGGTCACTCTGCTGATGAAGGTGTGAATCTAACGGGTCACTGCTGATGAAGGTGTGAATCTAATGGGTCACTGCTGGTGAAGGTGTGAATCTAACGGGTCACTGCTGATGAAGGTGTGAATCTAACGGGTCACTCTGCTGATGAAGGTGTGAATCTAACGGGTCACTGCTGATGAAGGTGTGAATCTAACGGGTCACTCTACTGATGAAGGTGTGAATCTAACGGGTCACTCTGCTGATGAAGGTGTGAATTTAATGGGTCACTCTGCTGATGAAGGTGTGAATCTAATGGGTCACTCTGCTGATGAAGGTGTGAATCTAACGGGTCACTGCTGATGAAGGTGTGAATCTAACGAGTCACTGCTGATGAAGGTGTGAATCTAACGGGTCACTGCTGATGAAGGTGTGAATCTAACGGGTCACTGCTGATGAAGGTGTGAATCTAACGGGTCACTCTGCTGATGAAGGTGTGAATCTAACGGGTCACTGCTGATGAAGGTGTGAATCTAACGGGTCACTGCTGATGACGGTGTGAATCTAACGGGTCACTGCTGATGAAGGTGTGAATCTAATGGGTCACTCTGCTGATGAAGGTGTGAATCTAACGGGTCACTCTGCTGATGAAGGTGTGAATCTAACGGGTCACTCTGCTGATGAAGGTGTGAATCTAATGGGTCACTCTGCTGATGAAGGTGTGAATCTAACGGGTCACTGCTGATGAAGGTGTGAATCTAACGGGTCACTGCTCATGAAGGTGTGAATCTAACGGGTCAATCTGCTGATGAAGGTGTGAATCTAACGGGTCACTCTGCTGATGAAGGTGTGAATCTAACGGGTCACTGCTGATGAAGATGTGAATCTAACGGGTCACTGCTGATGAAGGTGTGAATCTAACGGGTCACTGCTGATGAAGGTGTGAATTTAATGGGTCACTGCTGATGAAGGTGTGAATCTAACGGGTCACTCTGCTGATGAAGGTGTGAATCTAACGGGTCACTTCTGATGAAGGTGTGAATCTAACGGGTCACTGCTGATGAAGGTGTGAATCTAATGGGTCACTCTGCTGATGAAGGTGTGAATCTAACGGGTCACTCTGCTGATGAAGGTGTGAATCTAACGGGTCACTCTGCTGATGAAGGTGTGAATCTAACGGGTCACTGCTGATGAAGGTGTGAATCTAATGGGTCACTGCTGGTGAAGGTGTGAATCTAACGGGTCACTGCTGATGAAGGTGTGAATCTAACGGGTCACTCTGCTGATGAAGGTGTGAATCTAACGGGTCACTGCTGATGAAGGTGTGAATCTAACGGGTCACTCTGCTGATGAAGGTGTGAATCTAACGGGTCACTCTGCTGATGAAGGTGTGAATCTAACGGGTCACTGCTGATGAAGGTGTGAATCTAACGGGTCACTGCTGGTGAAGGTGTGAATCTAACGGGTCACTCTGCTGATGAAGGTGTGAATCTAACGGGTCACTCTGCTGATGAAGGTGTGAATCTAACAGGTCACTCTGCTGATGAAGGTGTGAATCTAACGGGTCACTCTGCTGATGAAGGTGTGAATCTAACGGGTCACTGCTGATGAAGGTGTGAATCTAACGGGTCACTGCTGGTGAAGGTGTGAATCTAACGGGTCACTGCTGATGAAGGTGTGAATCTAACGGGTCACTCTGCTGATGAAGGTGTGAATCTAACGGGTCACTGCTGATGAAGGTGTGAATCTAACGGGTCACTGCTGATGAAGGTGTGAATCTAACGGGTCACTGCTGATGAAGGTGTGAATCTAACGGGTCACTCTGCTGATGAAGGTGTGAATCTAACGGGTCACTCTGCTGATGAAGGTGTGAATCTAACGGGTCACTCTGCTGATGAACGTGTGAATCTTACTGGATGAACACAGTGATGAAGGTGAAGGACAGCAGCAGCTGCAGGACGTTCATCACTTGTTCCATGGTCCTTGTCAGACTCAGGAAGGACTGTTTGACTGCCTGAGTGAAGGCCTGGTCCAACAGAACCCCGTCCAGCACCGGCTGCTGGTTCTCCTCCTGCAGATGACAGATCGTCAGATCTGGGGGTCGTGTGGAGGTCAGCTGATGGCGGCCATGCTCATACCAGAAGGACCACCTCCGTGCTGAACTCTCTGGAGAGCCGGTCCACTGAGATGTTGAGCTGATCAAACAGCTGACCGAAGTTTCCCTCCACAGGAATCTGCTCCCGACACCAGGGGGTCATTACTGAGAGAGAGGAAGAAAGAGGCCGAGCAGAACAACCGGCAGTCTATTAGCAACACATGGAGACGTAGAGGGAGGTGGCATCAAATCGTTTATTAAACAGAGTGGTGGAGAAACTCCATGGCAGCTTCCTCTGGGTTCATTGTGCTAAACAGGAACCAGATGCTGCTGATCAAAGATTGGTCAAAGCATCACATACTGACGCATCAGAGCTGCCCCCCTCCTCATATAATGACGCCCTGGGTGAGTGACAGGCAGTGGACATTACATCATGTGACTCACGATAAAAAAAATTTTGAAGTCGTAGGGAAGCGGCTGTTCCAACCGTTGCATTTCCAAATTCTCCCAGTGGTGCCCGACTTTACCCGAGTGAATAAAGTGAATGTGATTGGTCGATTATCAAGGGGGCGGGATTGTTATGGCGGAAGGTTCGCAAGCATGTTTGGTTGTGGCCGGTTTGTGGGAAGCATCTTGCTAACCAGTTAGCATCTTAGTGCTAGCAGGTTCCCAATGGGAAATTCCATTGGGAACCTGCTAGCACTAAGATGCTAACCAGTTAGCATCTTAGTGCTAGCAGGTTCCCAATGGGAAATTCCATTGGGACCAAGTAGCACTAAATTGGTGACTTAGAAACGACGCTGTCAAGGAACGCTATGGACAGCGGAAACATGCAAGAGGAGGAGAGTTTAGTGTCGGAGGTCGTGGATGAGTCTCCTCCGTCATCCATTTTTTATTTAGAGGAGGAAAGCGGGGACGAAGATGTTGTGGAAAAGGACGCCAGGGCGGCAGAAGCTTGGTTTGGTGTAGAAGGCTTCCAGCCGTACATGTTTGAGCCCTTGCCTCGCTACGCTGCCAGTTCTGTTAGCTCTACGCCTGCCGAAGACACAGACGTCCATCCCCGTGAACACTGGGACGCAACTCAATGGGAAAGGAAAGGATTCTGATTTCAACCGTTGCATATATTAGCTGCGACACATGAATCAAGATGCTATGACTGAAAACATTTGATTGACAGATGAGCGTTGATATATGATTGGCTGAATTTAGGTGTTCAGGCTGACGTAGAACTAACTGGCCTGCAGAAGATAACGGAAAAAACATAGAGTTTAAGACAGGATTTTTTTTTAAATAGAAATTTTCTAAATTTTGGGACAATATGATCTGATAAAGAGAACATTTATATACATGGTTAAGCCACACTGATTTCACATTTAAAAATGACTTCCCTATGACTTTAAATTTTTTGCATGCTAACAGGAATCCTAGAGCTTGCTTTAGGTTTACAGTCGGGGTTAGGGATCAGTTAGTTTTAATATTTTTACTTTGTTTTTGCTGTTCATGAAAAAAAGTTTTGCAGGCTCCTGCCTCAACCTGCACCTTGAGAAATGCAGGAGAGTAAACCCGTTGTGTCAGTATGTGACGGGCAGGCGGCTGGACCAAGCGTCAGTATTCGGCGGGTTGGGAGGGAGACTGCGTTTCTGAGAATCGTCAACCTGGGAAAGGTTCAAAGGTCATCTCAACTCATCAGGAGTCCTTTGTCGTGCAGAAGGAGAACATCTCAGACTGATCTTTTTAGAACGATTCCACCCAATGCCAGAGCAGAAAGCTGATAGCTGCAGCTCAGCGTCTACGGGTTAGCAGGTCAAAGGTCAAAGATCAGGACTCTGAACCAAGCGTGACTGTTTGGGAGGACTGAAGGAGGAAACCTCCTATCTCTAGAACTAAGACAGCAGCAGGAGATCTGAAGGAAAGCAACAGATCAGCAGAAATGTAATTTGGACTCACATTTACTAAATTATTTCCTTTTCCATTTGGGTATGCAAAATAGGCGAGAATTTCACAAAATGAGGCGGATGTTAAAAGGTTAAATTCTATTCACTTTATTTCTATAGCTCCAATTCACATCATGTCATCTCAGGTCACTTTCCAGTTCACCAGATCATCCAGTCAGATTGATTCAAAGTTTTCTATCTAAGGAAAACCAGCTGATTGCATCGACTCATTGACTCTTCAGCAATCCCTCACACTAAGCATGCTTGTAGCGACAGTGGAGAGGAAAAACTCTCTTATACTGCCTATATGTCTGACAGCCGAAGCTGGGTCCAAACTGGGATGTGATGCGAAAGACTAATAACCATGAAGCTGGTTCTACAGGTTCAGCGGCTATAGATCATGTGTTTTCCCCAGACACATGGTATGGTCCAACTTTCACTTTTAGGGCGACAGTGGCGTTGGATGTAGGAGTTTGCCCTGTAATCGGAGGGTTGACAGTTCAAGCCCCGACTCCGACTTTCATTGTCGTTGTGTCCTTGGGCAAGACACTTCACCTGCATTGTCTACTGATGGTGGTCAGAGGGCCCGGTGGCGCCAGTGTACGACAGCCTCGCTTCTGTCAGTGAGCCCCAGGGCAGCTGTGGCTACAATGTAGCTTGCCACCATCAGTGTGTGAGTGTGTGCGTGAATGGGTGAATGAATGTAGCGTAAAGCGCTTTGGTCAAGTCTCCTAACTTGAATAAAGGCGCTATGTAAGTACATGCCATTTACCATTTACCACTTTTAATTCACTACAAACCTCAGTCAGACCAAGAGTTTACTTTTCATATTAGTAGAAGAACAGAGACTCACTTCTCATGATGTCACACAGGAAGTCGAATTTCATGGAAACACAGAGGATGTGGTTGATGACGGGAACAGGAACAGCCTCCATACACTCCTCCCACTTCCGGGCGAACCAATCAGCACAGCGCTGGATGCCCCCGTTCACCACACCTGCACACCAGGCAGAGATCTCACCTTATGGAGCCAAACTGAGGCCATAAGTTGGTTCAGAAACATTTATTCAACAAAACAGAAAAAAGTCAAATTTATGAGCATCGCTGCTGCTGCTCTAAGTATTTTAGTCATAATTAGCTAATATCAGTGAAGCCAGTTCTTTGAAGAAACTGGTAGAAAAGAATAGAAAGGCAACAATGCTTTAAGGAGGTTTTTACTTCCCACAGTACCTGAATGCAACAGCGGGTTAAAACAAAATAAATAAATAAATTCGAGTCTGAAATTTTAAAGGCTTCTTTTCAGTTTTAAATTTTTGTTTTTGTTTGTTTTATATTATTTTTTGACACTGGCTCTAATTTAGTTTCATATAAACTGAACTGATTCATCAGAAAAGGAGGTAAAGCTGAAAGACAGAAATGAAATAAAGTCTTTAGTTCTGATATGACAAATCCGATATATCAGATCTGATATAACGGATCTGGTATAACAGATCTGATATATTAGATCCGGTATATCAGATCTGCTGACCAGAACCTCGTTGGTTCAAACTCTGGTTCACAGAAAGGAAAAAAAAAGAAGAGACTACAGGTTAAACACCTGAGGATTGTAAATTATTTCAGGAGAAAGAAATAAAACCCTAAAAGAGTCTTAAAGCATTTCCAGTGATAACGTATTAAGTAATTTTTATAAAACATTCCCTTCTGGAAGTTTCCTTTCAGAGGAACCACAGCAGAACATCTTCCTGCATCTCACCCTGGTTTCAGCATCTCCTGCGATTCGTGGAACCTCCGCCGATCGGCGTCTCCGTACAAACCAATAGAACTAAAATCCTAGAGCCTGACCTGCAGGTTGGACTCACTGTCACACTGCATCTTAGTCTTGGCGGTGAACTGCTCTTGCGTTCCATTTCCTCCACCGGCGGGTTTGGGTTGGAACTGGTCGTATCCGTACTGGAGAAGGACTTCATCTCGGATATTCTGGAACTTCCTGCTGATGTTCAGAGACTCGGACTCAAACTCTGCTTTATCATCCTGAGAAGCAGATCCAGAAGTAGAACCGTCATCAGTCTGCAGCTGCGGCAGGTAGACGCCGTATAACGAGTAAAGGAAGTCTAACATCTGAGGGAAATGTCATGCAGATCACCGGCTGCTCTACTTTATTAATTAGAGTGAGCAGATGCACCCGCCGCTCTCCTAGTCAACCTCATTCCTTGCATCCAGCCCTTCCTGTGTTTCTGTGTTCAGCCATCATCTTTCCTCTCACTCCTGTTCGACTATCTTTAGCTTTTCCGTCTTCTGCCAGCGTGCTTAATTTACCACCAAAGGTTTATGATTGTAATCTGTGTTTCTGATTATTCACCATGTCTGGTTGAGCTTTTTGTTTCACTAAATGCATGAAATTGCCTCTTTGACCATGAATTGGTAAAATCCTCCAGTTGTCTCACTGTAATATAAAGCTGCAGATAAACATGTTCATGACATGTTTGCTCCAGCGCCAAGCATCCTATGATCCTCCGTTTCCCATGAGTCATTGCAGGTCAGCTCGGATTGGTCAGCTTGGACAGTTGGCTTCGCAAATTGTAGTGAAAGAAAAAATTCATATTTTAATTTAGAAGACTACGACCGAGCATTAGGGCCAGGCTAGAGATTTTTTTCCTTCTATTTCGAGAATAAAGTCGTAAAATTTCAAAAATATAGTTGCAAAATTACGAGAATAAAGTCGTAATATTATGGGAATAAAGTCATAATATTAAAAGAATTAAGTCATAAAATTGCGAGAATAAAGTTGTATTTTATGACAAGAAGCTTTTTCTTCCCTAAAATGAGGAATGTGGAGCATCGTGTGAAGTTATACTTTAGCATCGTTTTGACAAATCAGGAAATCTTTTAGCACCAAATTGTGCAGGATGTCAAAGTGAACTGATTGGTGGCTTTATTCTTATAATTTTACAACTTTATTCACATAATTTTACGACTTTGTTTTCATAATATTACAACTTTGTTCTCGAAATAAATAAAATAAATATAATAAAATAAAAGACCCAACATAAACATTTACGATGTTTTTAGGCGAGAATGTTGCTTCGTTAAACCCAGTAAAAAAAAAGCTCCAATGTTTTTTTGGTTTTTTTTCTCTTTCTTCTTTCTTTTTTTCTTTAGGAGCCCAACAGATTTTACTTTCACAAGTGTAGCGGTATCGCAATTGCCATACTGCTCCACTTGTTACATGCATATAAATAGCTTTATTATAATCATGCAGGGAGTTTTACAGTTCATATGGACACTGCAATGTAGGTAGAGCAGAAAAACAGAAGAAGAAGAAGGAAAAAGAAAAAGAAAAAAAAAGGACAAAAGATGATAGAAAGAGGAGATAGGAAGGAGACAAGCTCCAATGTTTTCTGATTCCAGAGAACTGACAATTTTTTTCCTGAGAATTGAACTTTTATCTACGGAGAGAAAATAACTGATATTTTTCCTAAAACGACGTCGCTAGGGAAATTTCATTAGACTGTATAAACACACCATGTGATTGAAGCCATTTTTAACGTAAAATCAAAACGATTATTGCAGAAACTGATCTGGTGAATAAATCTTTTCAATAAATCATTTAATGAACTGAACCAAGTGATTCAGTTCACTCAAAAGAACTGCTTCCCGTCCACAAAAAGCAGACTAACATGCGTGTTTGGTGCTACACATGCGGCAGCAATTTATCTGCTAATTTGTTGTAGGGTTGTCACGATACTAAACTTTTCAACTCGATACCGATACTAAGGAAAATATTCGATACTCGATACCATTTTTGATACAAGGATAAAAACAAAGACTCCAAAATTCTACAGAGGCCAAAACATTTGTTTTCCTGCAAGTGGCCTAGCCTCGATCAACGCCCCAGGCCCTAGAACTGGCGGGTCAATCACAACGCAGAGATGTGTTTTGAATGTCTGGATGCAAAGTGGGCGGGGTTTAGAGGAAGACAAAGTTGCGCGACGCTGGAGAAAACGCAACAAGGAAGATGGCAGCTACTATTGAACAGTTCTGGTTTGGCTCAGCTTTGGAATCCGTTCTGGAAGGATTAGACTTTGGGTTTTCGTGGAAACGTGAGCAGGAAGAGGCTCTACGCTCATTCATTTTTAAGAAGGACGTATTCGCCGTTTTACCGACAGGCTGTTTGTTTCCACTCCCCCACCAGCTTTCTGTCTCTCTTCCAACATCACAGTCAGTGGCTCTCATTGGTCAGAGCGTTGGCCAATAGGCACAGACATGGTTTGAAAGACAACTGGTTGTTCTCATCCAACAATCTTCCGATGTCTCATTCATCGGGGCCAGACTAAATTACACATTTAATCTCACATTTAGTCTGGTTTATCAGGCTAACTAAATAAGTCAAAATGACAAAATACGTGTCCTCCTCCTCACCATCAGCTCCTGCACGACCTGAACAAATGGCTTGGTGGCGTGCCTCCACAGCATCCTGCTGTGATGAACCTGCAGGTCCAGATTACAGCTCAGAGTCAGAGCCGCCGCCTCGACGTTTCGCTGGATGTTGGAGATCGGACCTGTGACAGCGAGGTGGGTAACAGGGTTAGCTTTTCAAAAGTCATTACAGACTTTTATTTTCTGTTTTTGTTTCTAATGAGGTCTGGATGAGACTGGATGGGAACCTGCAGAGTTAAGGCTACTGTGACCTGAAAATGAAAAAGAGAGATCATATCTCTCCTATCCTGGCTTCTCTTCATTGGCTTCCTGTTAAATCCAGAATAGAATTTAAAATCCTCCTTCTCACATATAAAGCCTTAAATGGCCAAGCTCCATCTTATATCAGAGATCTGATTGTTCCTTATGTTCCTAACAGAGCACTTCGCTCTCAATCTGCAGGTTTACTAGTGGTTCCTAGAATTTCTAAAAGTAGAATGGGAGGCAGATCTTTTAGTTCTCAGGCTCCTCTCCTGTGGAACCAACTACCAGTTTTAGTCCGTGAGGCAGACACCCTGTCTACTTTTAAGGCTAGGCTTAAAACTTTCCTTTTTGATAAAGCTTCTAGTTAGAGTGGCTCAGGTTATCCTGAGCTATCTCTATAGTTCTGCTGCTATAGGCTTAGACTGCTGGAGGACATAGGGACCCCTTTTTCATCAGGGCTTGCCTTGGAGTCAATGAGTCGATGCAATCAGCTGGTTTTCCTTAGATAGAAAACTTTGAATCAATCTGACTGGATGATCTGGTTGATCCGGATCTATAAAGTGACCTGAGATGACATGATGTGAATTGGCGCTATAGAAATAAAAAAATTGAATTGATCTGTTTGCTGCTCATGTCGGAACATAAAACGTCTTTTTCCAATTAAATTCATATTTAAAAAGCCACTTAGAAAGTCTGGAGAACATTGATCCAGACCACTTTAAAATAATGCTGAAAGTCTCGCTGCCTGGAAAAAATGATCCCTGCTATAAACAGAGAGTTTGAGTGTTATTACCTCTGTACAGAACCATCACAATCAGTACCACCAGGTAGGAGCGGCCACGGGAGCCGAGGATGCTGGGTAATGTGAGAAGCACGGTGCACCTGAAGGATGAGGACAAGGCTCCACCTACGAGACACACACCTGAAACCCAAACACCTGTGTTCACCTGACGTTGATGATGATGATGATGCCCGAAGAACGAATGTGAGTCTGACGTTTCCTCACCAGTAAATATAAATCCTACAGCCAGCTTCAGGTCAAAGGTCAGGGGGAGGTTGTGAGCAATTCCCAGAAACAACACTGAGGAAAAAAAAAAACAATTTGATATTTCGTCCCATATTGCCAGAATTGGCAATATGGGACGAAATAATTCATTTTAGTTAAGTAAAAGGATGAGCAGTGTTGAAGAAGAAAATGAAAATGCAAACAGGATGATTGATTACTAATTTCATTTATGAGTCAAATAATGCAGCCACATTCTTCAAATGAAAAAGCATTTCTGAAAATGCCTTTTCATTTGAAATATGGTAACGATTTGCTTCCATAATATGTAAGACAACATGGCAGTAAGCCATAGATGTGTTTCCGGTTGGTACAGACTGACCGACAAATAGCGCCCCCTGTTGTCTGATCAAGGGTACCACATACAAGTCACAGATCGTTTTTAACAGTGTGAAATTTGTGTCAAAAGTATATATATTATATGTATATCAATTTATTTTGAAGGTTTTAATACACGTTTTTGAATGTTTTGCACCATTTGTTTTAGATCAACTGTAGCAAAACTGAATGACAGACATTTCTGATGTGCAACTCATAGAACACAATCTGTGTACTCAAGAATTTGAAGATGTGTAAATTTTTTTGTAATTGTGACTGATTGAAAAAAATCTACAATTACAAAACACCAAAGTTACAATGCACAAATGGTTTTGCAGCGATAGTTCTGGACCATTTGGTACGAAAGAGGATTAGGGCCACTGAAAAAAAAAAAGTTAACTGATTTTTTAAATTTTATTTCAGTATAGTATGGGAAAAAAGTCAGAATTCTGACTTTTTTCTCAAGAAAAAAGTCAGAATTCTGACTTTAATCTCAGAATTCCAGCTTTTTTCTCAGAATTCTGAGATTAAAGTCAGAATTCTGACTTTATTCCCATGTTAAACTGAAAAAAAATTTAAAAAATCAGTTAATTTTTTTTTTCGTAATTTGGTGCAAAACTGATAATGTAAAACATTTTTGATGCGCAACTTGTAGAACAGAATTTGTGTTCTTGTACTTAACATTTCAACAGGTGTAAAAAAAAAAATTGTACTTCCGATTTTTGATTTTAATTCTTCAAATACAAAACTTTTAATTTAACTCCCTCTACAACTTCAAATTCACACTTAGAATGCACAAATAGTTTTGGAACAAAATAAGCTTGATGTTTTTCCAGCCTGCAGCTGATCAGCAGGTGATGAATGAAGGATTTACCTGCGCCGCTCACCGCGCCAAGCAGACCTCTGAGGACCCGGAGAGCCGCCGGGTTCTCCGCCCAGAGCCCGGAGAACCGGCGGACAGCTCGATGCAGCGCAAACATCTGGAGGAAACAGCTGGATGGACCAGGTCAGAGAAGGGCTGATGGTGAAGCTCTAACGGCTCTAACTGCCTGATCTCCATGGTAACCGACCTCAGCTGGAGACGCGGGATATCAGACGATGAGACTGGAGGAGGACAGACTACACCCGCTGAAGGGTGACATCAGAGTCCAGGTGGTGAGGGGCGGGACCACACAGACCCTCAGAGGACACCTGGCCAGGTAGATAGCATAAAGCTAACAGTTAGCCTCCTGTCAGGTAGATAGCATAAAGCTAACAGTTAGCCTCCTGTCAGGTAGATAGCATAAAGCTAACAGTTAGCCTCCTGTCAGGTAGATAGCATAAAGCTAACAGTTAGCCTCCTGTCATTTAGAAGCTAAATGTTGCTGAGAATAGAGACAGAAAAGCTTCAAGCATTTTCATTAAACTAAGAGCTGAATAGAGTAGTTAAACATTAATGAGAGGATGCTTACACCATAAATGGAAGACTAGACCCCACATTAACTGTCGCAGCGCAGGAATTAGGGGCGCCATCTTGGGGAGGTCATCCTTCTCCCCTAACCTGCTGCTTTCAGCAGAACAGAAGCAGAAGTTTTAATTTAAATCAACAGACTGATGACATCACAGCAGAGGGAGAACTTCATGAAGTCATCAGAGCTTTGGAGACATTACTGAATGAACAGCAGATATACACTACATAGATTAGAAACTCTCTTTATTGTTACAGCAGCACAAGGTTACAGCAAAAGTGGTCGCACAAATGTGGACATTAAAAAGTGTACAAAATAATAGAATAAGGGACAGTGTTAAAAAAAAAACTATTCAATCCACAAAACAACCACAGCTACGACTGACTATTAGGGCCAGGCTAAAGGTTTTATTCTTTCTATTTCCAGAATAAAGTCGTACAAAGCTTGCTGTAAAGAAAAAAAAAAGAAATAAGTAAAACCTAAAACGCTATAATAAAAAACAAATCAGCTAAAACATGGGTAACAATAACATTCACATAAAATATAAATACATGTAATAAATAAAATACTGTACTGTACAGTGTTTTTTACAAATATAAATACTGTTCATTTAAAGAATTCTTAATCAATATACTTCTATGGACATTTTTAAAGTATTTTACAATATTTTTACAGTAAAGTTTTATATATATATCATACATAGAGTGAGAGATATGTGTATCTATATTTGTGCATACCTGTATAAATATCTTTCTGTATATAGTAATAAAATAATTATGAAATATATGAGTGGCTGTGCTTTGCATCAATCAGAATACTTTGTTACTCTTAAACCAACTAAGAATATTTTAATAAACTGAACCATTTTGTTTTTTTTCAGCCAAAAAACAAACCTGTGACAATTAGTTCAACATTCAGAAAGTTAAAGTTGATTAAAAATTTTTCTGTTCCTGCTGAACACATTACACTGAGCAGAGCTATCGACCTCCCTAAGATGGCGCCACCGAATCACGTCAGCTCATAGATCGATGCAGGCTCTACCTCTTATATTATTTCTATGGCTTAAACCGTTAGTTAGCATAAAGCTAACACTTAGATTTGACCATTCAGTGAAAAATAAATATCTAATATCTATCTTACATGCAGAAGAACTCTGTTACATTTCTTCTTTCATTTGATCCTGATTAATTAAGGTTTATTTCTCGTTCTCTGGCCTTTGCTCTTTGGAAGCTCAGTCTCTTTCAGATATTTCTTGGACCGTTGACTGATAGCTCTGACAGGTGACCAAAGAAACAAAGTGATGCTTTGTTTTACAAATGCAAGCAGCTCCTTTTAAAGGAGAAATCAACAGGCCTACAGAGGAGTGGCAATGCAGGGACTGATTTAGGAAATATAGGGCCCAAGGCAAAGACAGGGAGGGGGCCCTCTGATGGAGAAGACACACATCAACAGATATAGAAATGTTCATAGAATAGACATCCATGATCTGTTCTAGGTTGTGTCCCTCTCTTCTTGTCCCCTTTCTTCTTGTTTTCCTCTCTATGTTTTGTACTCAGCTGACTTTTCATGCTGTCTCTAAAGGAATGAAAGATTTTTTCCAAGCACTAAGCTCACTTAGCTGATTGCTCCTTCCTGTGTTTCCAAAAAGGCCAAAGTAAATAACCCAGTCCTTCTTTTCACTGTAGACAAGCCATGATCTGCTTATCTGTTCTCCATTTTTCATTTGGATGAAATAATAGCTGCATGAATCATGACAGCAGACAAGATAGAGGAGAGCAGGAGGCGGGGTTACCAATCTACTCGCTCTGGAGAGCAGAGTTCGCTGCTTTTAGATGTTGTCTCCAAAGTCTCCAGTAGCAGAAAAAAGTCTCTAGATTTGGCGCTAGGAGCTTTTTAGAAATCAAAGTGCTAGAGGGGTCTGAAAAGTGGCTAAATATAGCGACTAAAGCGCTAAGTTGGCAACACTGCTCTTTGCATGGTTTGTTTTCAAATGGTTTGCTGCTGTCTGTTTGGACCTTTCTGAACATGTGCAGCAGATGGACTGATCCAATATGGTGGACACTGAAGGGGGGGGCTGAGACACACTTAATATTATCAGCGTTCTGATGGCATTTTAGCCAAAGGATTTTTATCAAAAACATGTGCAGAAATAAGGAATAGTTGTATTAAAAATACATGTTTTATGGGGCCCCCAGGAACTTGGGGCCCCAGGATACTACCTAGTATTGCCTAATTGTGATCCTCCCCCCGATTATCGGACCATAAAACCAGGAGAAAAGAACAACCATCATCCATTTAGCTGACATGACATGACATCTTTTTCTTCTTCAGGTCAGGTTGGCCTTCTCGCCCTCGCAGAAAGAGGAAACTCCGGGTCCACCTGGTCAGAGCGGGTCGCAGCCTGGTGGCGTTTCTCTCTGGTCTTCTGCTGGCGTCTCTTTATGGACTCATGCGCCTCATGCTGCAGAAACAACAGCTGTGGTTCTGTGTCTACTCCACAGTGGTTTTGGCCGGGCTGGTGGGGTTCGGGATGGGGTTGTCAGCAGGTGTCCGGGCCAGCATCATGGTCATGCTGCCCTCCATGTTCTCAGGTAAGTCAGAGATGCTCACCTGGGTCTAACGGCGAGGCACTTGGGCAGCCTGACGATTATGGAGAGACATTGTATAATATTATCAAGAGCAAAAATCACGTAAAAAAAAAAAAGGAAATTTGAAGAAATTTTTTTTTCAAAATAGGGACTCTGCAGAAAAACTTCTAAAACAAAAAATAAGTTATGACTTTATTTTTTCAGATTTTTTTCTAATTTCCTTGTACAGCCTGCTCCATGTGGACATTAAAGACGGCATTTCTGCACACAGACCGCCCAGCAGTGTAGAGGATAAAACCTGTTGAACTGTCAGGATTTATGACATAAAATTCTGTCTCCCCAAAAATATTTGAAATATAAAGTGTTACAAAAAAAAAAACGAAAAAGTATTTTGAATTCAAAACCTGAAAATAAATCTGTAAAAAAAAAAAAAAAAACTGAAAATGATTAAACTTTTATAAACATATCATCAATTACTGTCATAACCTTTATTAAAGGAAAAGTCCGGTCAGCGAGGAATAATCAACGGATCATTATTTATAACTAAACTAATACGTTCGCAGTGATATAATGAATTTAGCATTAATTAGAAAATATAAAAACATAATTTTTGTCACAATCTCTGAGTCTGGGAGCGGCCATTTTTGCCCAAATATAGTAGCCCCTCCCTCCTGCCATCTTCCAGCAGTGACGTCACGGTGCGGTAAGCCTAGCGCCATTCTCCCCGCTTTCCAAGCTAAATCAATGGGAACTACTAGACACATCTGCAATCAACAACAATTATTGAAGATTTCCAGAGGACTTCACCATTGAAATTCACCAGAGCTATAGTGAAACTGACAATGCCCACGTGCATGGCAGCTGGATGCTGGAATACATCGGGTAAAAGTGAAAAAAAGAGTTATTCCACCTTTCTGATTCCTGATCCTCCACGGACGGGTTGGTCGTTGGATCGGCAACTTGAAGAGGGAGGATTTGCCATCGAACTTCTGGCCAGAGAAAAAACCCGTAATATGTAGCCAACATTTGGAAGAAGAATGTTTTCAAGATGACTTGGATAATAGCGCGTTGTGACAAACACCAGATACAGCACTGGGACTTGATCAACAGCCGATACCGCATCGTGACGTCACTAACCAGTAGGTGGCAGTAGTGTTCTTTGACAAACATGGATGCCTCCAGTAAAGCACATTCACATGAAAATTACTCTGAATTAAAAACACTGATCATTTATTGAACAGGATGGAATCATTTCAGATTTAAAGAACTTTCAGAAGTTTGGATTCTGAATGTGAGCGACTTTTCCTTTAATGAGAAGTTTTTTGAAGAATCACTTTAAACGGAAAGCAGTAACCTTCATGTTCCTTCTGAAACCCTTTGCTTCCCTCGGTCCTCAGCAATACTCTAAATATTTTATTTATTTAAATGACTATGAGAAAGGAGAGAAGAAGCAGTTTCTTAGCTCTATCTGGGTGCTAATAGCTTCTGGCATCACTTGAGCTCAAACCCCAACCTGCAGAATCCTTTTATGTTGATTTTAGTATCATAACCAGAATTTAATATGTTTTTGGACCCGTCACAATTAAGTAAACAATTATTCATAAACTATATATTTTTATTCTGCTCCAGCTTGCACATTCTCTGGGTTGTTTTTCTTATTGTTGTGATGAAACATTTGTAGCTCTGACCTTTTAACCTGGGTCCGGTCCAGCCTGCGGCCGGAACTTCATCCTGCTCCTGTATGTTTCGGTTCTGCTGTCCGGACCTCTGAAGAACACACTGGAAAACACCGAACGGGCCGCCTCCAGCCTGCTGTGCGGCGGCGAGCTGGCAGCCAATCAGACGAAGGAGCTGATGCAGAGAGCGGCCACACCTCTCTACTGTAAGCCACACCCACCTCCTTCAATTCTGAACATAAACAGAAACGGTAAAAATGTCATGAAATCATTTTAGGCATAAAACCTCAGAGCAGATCAAACGGTGTACGGAGTTAATTTTCTGCAAAAATGTTGCATATAAAAAAAGCATGTTTCACACAAACAGATTTTATCACTCAAAAATAAACATGTTGCACTCAGATTAATTTTATTCTTCACAAATAAAACTTGTGTTCTCCTCAAAAGTCACACACACAAAACAAATTTTTTTCAAACTGTCCTTAAATGTTGCAAACACAAAAGAATAATTTTTCCAAACCGGACTCTAACGTTGCACTCTAAATATAAATGATAAATTGTCACTGAGTATAAAATGATCTCTGCTAGCGTATAAATCAGCCTCTCCTCGCGTACGAGACATGCTTTTTTTTTTTATGCAACGTTTTGGCAGAAAATTCCCTCCATACGGTTCCGCTAATCCTCACATGTCGGTTGTTTCTATGTTTATTAATATTCTGCATCGGCATAAGCAGAGAACCAGGAAATGATCCAAGCTCAAAGGTTTGCTTCCTCTGCAGCCGCGTTGGAGGAAATCAGAGAGATCAGCAGCAACGCCTACGCC